GGGAAAGAGACCCTTTGGTTGTTATTTCAGAAAAACAAAACAACCCCATTTCTGTCCTGCTGTTTATTTCTGCAGACCACACACAAAGCTGAATATGAAGAGATTCAATCACTACATCACAAAAATACAGGCACAAAATTAAGTGGACGCCACAAAGGGTGTGTCTGAAAACACTGAATTGACTGAATCTGAGTCAGATTTCACCCTCGTGGACTTTAAGATGCCCTCAGCTATGACCGTTTCACTGGGAAAGAGCCTGACTTTCCCGTTCTGCCCTGTTGCTGTATCCTTCAGGGGTTCCAAAAACACCACTCTTTTCCCGGTCCCTGCCTTCCGTTCATCGGCGGGGGCATCGCTTTCAGGGCCAGCAGTGAGAATAGATGCATGGGCATTGCTTTGGTTTAGCATAGTTTTTCGTCTCTTGGGTTTACATTTGCAGGGACACGGTGTCAGATAGAGGTACAGAAGTACCAAAACAATGCTGGCCACGCAGGCTGCAAGAGTGGTAAAAGCTGTGTTAAATGCCTCGTGAGCATGGGATCTGTTTACGGTGAAATTGCTCACGTTTATTGTGATATCCACAGTTTCATTTAACAGACGTTGCCGATTCATTGCAACACAGGAATACACTCCAGCATCCTCAAAACGAGGACTTTCTATAACCAGACTTCCATTGGGAAATATGCGAAAGTTTTCTATCTCTTTATCGGGCTCCAGCACTCTGTTATCTGGACCGACCCACATGAAATCGGTATTCACGTTACCAGTCTTGCTATCACAGTGGACAATCAGCCTTTCCCCCACTTGAGCCTCATGAATAAAGCCAAGGGCACGGAAGGAACCATTGATGATACTGTCAGAGCAGTTCATAAAGCTATCCTGGAGCAGAAGCACCTGATGGAAGTGCCTAGCGTCAGACCACAAGCGACAGGTATAATCATTCTTAAAATCCATCACTGAGCTGAAGTGCCTACGATACCAAAAGATCAGCAACGAGTAAAGGGAACAGTCACAGACAAATGGGTTTCCATGAAGGTAGATGCCTCTCAGCTGCTTTCCTGGCACTAAATTTATATGATGCATCGGCAGGGAGGGGATCCGGTTATAAGAAACATCTAGAAACATCAGTTCTGCCAGCTTGAACCTTCCAACGTACAAATCCATGGGAAACTGCGTGAGAAAGTTTCCACTTAAGTAGAGTTTTTGCAGTTGGGAAAGCCCTCCAAATGCTGAAGGGTCGAGATAGGAAATGTGATTGTTGTAAAGCAGGAGCACTTCCAGAACCTTCAACTCCTGGAACACTGCACTTTTCACAGTCTTCAGTTTGTTGGATGATAAGTCAAGACACTTCAGATTTGGGGTGCTGGAAAAACTGTCCGTAGAAATGCTCGTGATGTTGTTATGCCGAATAATGAGGGTGTTCAGCTTTACAAACGACACCGGGATCCACTCAGAATCCAGAAGCCCAATTCTGTTATAACTCAGATCCAGTCTCTTGATCAGTCTGAAAAGGTTCCCAGGCACCTTGGACAGGTTTTTGTTGGTGCAGCTGACGATGTCAGTGGCACAGATGCAAGCGGTGGGGCACACCCCGGAGGCCCCACGGCTCGCAGTCACCGTAATCACCAACAAACACAGCAGTTCCCTGCAGCCCGGTCTGACAACTCCAGGCAGGGTGGGCAGTGCGTGTAAACGTAAAGACATTATGGTCGCCTCTAAGGCTCTTCCAGGCGCCTTTTCCACCAGCTCAGCCTCCCACCAGTGAACCTGGTAAACAATCAATATTTAAAGAGGGGTAAAAAAGCAAAGTTAACTAGCACTAGTTAGCCCTTTAGAGTAATATCTGGCTTTCCTTCCAATAACTTTTGAAATGGAGGGGTTTTTTTTTCACACTGGGGAGCCTATGTGTCCTCTTTACTGTTGGATGCAATTTTTCCTGGGTTACTCCTGCTTACAGACATTTACAGTCCCATTCTATCAACACAACCGTCTCATTATCAGAAACTCAATTGTTTTTTAAGGTGCATCCTGCGTTGTTTTTTTTAACTCTCTCCAAGAGTCACAAAAATATACAAACGCATCTTATAAACAATTACACGGAAATATTTAGAAAGCCACCCATCCAGAAAGCAACTCACGGAGCTGGGAAGCCTCACGGGCTCCGGGGATAGGCCGCCGACGGTGGTATCTTCTGCAGGTCTGTGCGTCTGTCTGTGTGTCACTCCGGCATCTTACGAGTTCCTTTCCCTTTAGCTCCCGGCGGGCGGCAGCCTCTCGCTGGCTCGCAACTTTGGGGAGTTTCAGGCAGCCGCAGCGGCGGCAGCAACCCCGGGCGCAGGAAACGTCTCGGCCGGCTGCGGTTGCTTCTCCCCGGCTCTCTTCATTGCTCTGCTGAAGGTACCGCCTGGGCGCTCTGGCCGTCGCGTGCCCGCGCGCGGGGCGCCTTGCTCCCGGAGCCTGGTCCGAGGGGCGGAGGCGCGGGGAGCGGGTCGGACCCGGCCCCTCCTCTCCGCGCACGGGAGGCTGCAGGGCCCGGGTTCCCGGGCGGCGCCGGCCGGGTTTTATCCCCGCGCGCCCGGGGTCGGGTGCGGGGCGGGGAGACCGGTCAGGCCCCCGCACGTCCTCCCTCCAGCGGGAACCAGCTCCCGGGCTGCGGGCCTGGGGCGCGCGGCGCGGGGAAGGGGCGGCGGCGCAGCCAATCGGGGCAGCGGCCGGCGCCCCCTTCGCCCCCACCCGGCAGCCCCGCCGCCAACTCCACCACCCTCCCCCCACTCCCAGGTCCCGGGAGAGCGGCCGCGCGGGCGGGGCTGGGCGGGGGTCGACACCTGAGGCCGTGGCCGGCGTCCCCCGCGGTGAGGACGCGCTCGCGCACTCCTGCCAGTCGCGTCCGCGAGCCCAGCCGGGGTCAGCAGGGTGATAGGGTTGGGAGAGGTTAAGGGACACGCCCAGCTTCGAAGGGAGAGGTCGCACCCTTCAAGACGCACTTCGTCGCGGCAGCGCAGGTCGCCTCCCTCTCCCACCCAGTCCGATGAGCTCCCCGACCTCTTTACGGCTTGCTTTGGGCGAAGGCCAAGGGGGCTCGAAAAGCGCTAAGTGCAGTAGGTTTTAAAGGTTTACAAAGCAAACACAGAAGCTGCCTTCCGTCTCCGCCGTCATTTGGGGGCGGGCGGGGGGGCGCAGAGAAATGGGGCACGTTCCCTCCGGTGCAACAGGATCTCTGCTAGGGGAAAGGAACCGGGAAAGCGCAGCGGGACACGCTCGGCACCTCCCTGGGAAAGTTCTATCCCTTTCCAAACTCAGGAGGAAGCATCAGGGATGGTCCCCCGTTCGCGAAGGTGAAGCTCAGGAAAGAAGGGTTGGAGCCGACCTTCCGCCTGAAAGGCAAAGATAAGAGTATTCAGCTTAAAAGAAAAAAGAAAAAAAAAATCCCAGGGCCAGACTTTTTTTTTTTTCAAAATGTGTCCGCGCCAGACAAGGACTGATCCCAGACAGAAGGGGTGTCTTGCGCGGAGGTTCTTCATCCCTTCGCAAAAGGCAGGCTAGGAAAGTTGCAAGCAGGGTGGACAAGGCCAGGTGACAAGACCAGGCAAAATGAGGTGGAGGAAGGGGAGTGGAGCTGATGAGCTTTTCCATTAAAACTCCATTTTTGGTTGATTCCGAGATCAGTTTTAACGATGGGATTTGACTGAGCCAACTGACCCATTTAGCTGTTATATCCGGATTAACAAGAACTAAATTACTGCGCTGACAAGAGATATTAACCAAAGCAGAAGGGAGGGGGACATTGAAAAGAGGACCACATTGAGAACAACAGTAGGGGGCAGGGCACATAACTTGTAATATTACTTAAAAAATAGAAGCGATGACAGAGACAATCAACTGCCCCCCCACACATGCACACCCACTTGCGGTACCGGGAATTTAGTGAGAGTTTTTCTCTACATTGTCCATGAATGGATTCATGTGGTAGCACAGATCTGCTAGGCCAGCGCCAAATTTAAATAGAATTGTGTGCATCATTAATTTAGTTAGGCTTTTTGTGGGATGAATCTGAAATAGCACTGGTAAATTAAGATTTTTCAGGTGAGAGCAGCTTGATTCAGATTAGTTTCAGTTTTATGATAAGTTGAAGTTTATCATAAGACTACAGCCTGAAATGCTTCAGGCACGCATTCCTTACTGTGGACTCCCAGGGGAGATGAAGAGGTTGAGATTTTCTGAAGTTTAGGCCACACTTCCTTGGGTTCTCAAAAATCTTTGTCTCCAGGCCTTCATTTTTACAGTAAGAATGATTAACACAGAGAAATAGATTAAAATTACTCAGAGGTATATTTTTTAAATGACTAATAAATGACCAGGTATTTGCAGTATTTTACTAAGTAACATCTTATTCAAAGGAAAACATAAAAGTGGGAGAAAGACCTGTATTTAAAAGGAAAATAGTCTAAAAAGAAAAGTGACTTCAGGGGCTTCCCTCGTGGTGCAATGGTTAAAGAATCCGCCTGCCAATGCAGGGGTCACGGGTTTGAGCCCTGGTCTGGAAAGATCCCACATGCCCCGGAGCAACTAAGCCCGTGCGCCACAACTACTGAAGCCCGCGCGCCTAGAGCCCGTGCTCCGCGACAAGAGAAGTCACTGGAATGAGTAGCTCACGCACCGCAACAGAGAGTAGCCCCCGCTGGCCACAACTAAAAGAAAGCCCTCGCGCAGCATAGAGGACCCAACACAGCCCCAAATAAAATTAATTAATTAATTATTTTTAAAAAGTGACTTTCAAAAATGGAAACAGAATGGTAATGTTATGTTATTAGGGCTGAAGGCACATCTTAGAAATATGCAGAGATTACACAGCCTAAATAAACTACATGCACTCAAATCCACAGGCAAGTTTATTGATCTATTTGGAGACCTGATTTTTGGGATTCTGCACATTTGCCAAGCAGAAAAGAGTTTTGAAAGGGATGGGTTTACTTGGCTTGGTGAAGAGAAAGCTAAGAGTTGACTGTAATAATGGTATAAGGTGAGACCTTACTTTGTGGAGGATAACTTTATATCTTTCTGGCATCCCTTCCCCTTCTTCTACCAGATCCACTCTTCCCACTCGAAGGTATATTCCACAAGGGTGAAATTTCTAGAACCCTGCTTGACACTTGCTTGTCATTGAAGGAATTCTTGATGAATCAACTGCTGAATGGAGAACCTATTCTAGGCTTACCTGACCTGAATCTGCTCATGGCCCTCCTGCTCTTTATACTTCAAAAAGCTTTTCTGAAAAACAGAAGAGAGGAAAAGATGAGCCCTGCGAACATTATTTGAGTCCTGGATCCCGCAGTGCCTGAAGGCCACTGCACAATTTTACTTCCTTTCTAATTACATTCTCCACCCCGCATCCTTTTTCTTTTTCTTCTCCCGCCCCCCCTCCTCCTCCTTTGCTTAAATTATTTTGAGTTGTGTTGATTTCACTTGTGACTGAAAGAGTCCTAATATATATAATGATGGTAATAATAAATAAACATGTATTGGGCTACTATGTGCCAGATCTGAGCTCTGTGTTTTACATGCATTATTTTGTTTAGGGCTCACCAAAACCCTGTGACATTGTATAATCCTATAATGCAGATGGTAAACAACTGTGTTCCAAATTATCTGAAAATGGAATGGGACAAAATTAGCTTGAAGCTCCACTTGAAGGATTTAGATTAAACAGAAGAGAGACGTTTTTGACAGGGTAGTTCCAGCCTGCAATGGGTTGCCAAGACAGATGGTTGAGTTGCCTTCTCAGGAGTTTAAAATAGGACACATAGATATTTCTCTGGTCTTTTCCACATGGCATAATCTATTGGTTTTTTTGACCATTCAGTAATGACTCCAATGGATAGGAGAAAGTGAATTGACACTTGATGTGATTCTAAATCTAGTGTGCTCAGGCATGTGTGGTCCTATGAGTGTCCGGCTGGGATTGGAAGTAACTCCTGACTGGGTCAGGGATTTGAGTAGATGAAATCCCAGGGCATTTTCTAGCCCTATGATTTCCAGAATTTTTCAGGTTGTAATCAAAGATGTAAGGAATTAGGTATATGAGACAAGAAATTGTTACAGCACTAGTTTGATGATTTGGAGTCATTTTTACTAATAGTGAACACTTTAATAGCACTTTATATGCTATGAGAGGCTTTCACATTCTGTGTCTCATTTGATTCTAGCACGCGTCCTGTAATCAGGTGTAGTTGGGACACCAATCTAAAGTTGCCTCTTTTGGGCTTCCCTGGTGGCGCAGTGCTTGAGAGTCCGCCTGCCGATGCAGGAGACGCGGGTTCGTGCCCCGTTTCGGGAAGATCCCACATGCCGCGGGTCGGCTGGGCCCGTGAGCCATGGCCACTGAGCCTGCGCGTCCGGAGCCTGTGCTCCGCAAATGGGAGAGGCCACAACAGTGAGAGGCCCGCATAACGCAAGGAAAAAAAAAAATAAAAATAAAAATAAAATAAAATAAAATAAAGTTGCCTCTTTTTTTAAAAATTTGTTTTATTCAAGTATAGTTGATTTACAATGTTGTGTTAATTTCTTCCGTACAGCAAAGTGATTCAGTTATACATATATATATATATATATTCTTTTTCATTCTTTTCCATTATGGTCTATCACAGGATATTGAATATAGTTCCCTGTGCTATACAGTAGGACCTTGTTGTGTATCCATTCTATATATAATATTCATAGTTTGCATCTGCTAACTCCAAACTCCCAGTCCATCCCTCCCCACCTCCCTCCCCTTTAGCAACCATAAATCTGTTCTCTATGTCTGTGAGTCTGTTTCTGTTTCATAGATAAGTTCATTTGTGTCATATTTTAGATTCCATGTATAAGTGATATCATATGGTGTTTGTCTTTCTCTTTGTCTTACTTCACTTAGTATGATAATATCTAGGTCCATCCGTGTTACTGCAAATAGCATTATTTCACTCTTTTTTATGGCCGAGTAATATTCCATTCTGTATATGTGTGTGTGTGTGTGTGTGTGTGTATATATATATATATATATATATATATGCCATATCTTCTTAAGCCAATCATCTGTTGATGGGGACTTGGGTTGCTTCCATATCTTGGCTGTTGTAAATAGTGCTCCTATGAATACGGGGGTGCATGTATCTTTTTTTTAATAATTTTATTTATTTATCTTTGGCTGTGTTGGGTCTTTGTTGCTGCGTGCGGGCTTTCTCTACTTGCGGCGAGCGGGGGCCACTCTTTGTTGTGGTGCACGGGCTTCTCATTGCGGTAGCTTCTCTTGTTGTGGAGCACGGACTCTAGGCGTGCAGTCTTCAGTAGTTGTGGCACGTGGGCTCAGTAGTTGTGGCATGTGGGCTCTAGAGCACAGTCTCAGTAGTTGTGGCGCACGGGCTTAGTTGCTCTGTGGCATGTGGGATCTTCCGGGACCAGGGCTCGAACCCATGTACCCTGCATTGGCAGGCAGATCCTTAACCACTGCACCACCAGGGAAGCCTGCATATATCTTTTT